GCTAAGTTTCAATCTGACACTTCTTCTCACTTCAATGGTTACTGTATCTGCATCTGGAACACAGCCAATGAGAACAGACCTTACTTCCCCATGTTACTACTAAATTTAAAAAAAAAAAAAAAAAAAAAAAAAGGACCTCTGTGGATTCAATCAACACTCTACATACTACCACTAGTTGCAATGAAGTCACAGGCAAATGTTGGAATTCCTCTCAATAAATCATTTCAACCACAAAACTATGACTCCAAAATCATCATCTGATGACCGTTTAATGGCAGATATGCTTTTTTTTTCTTTTTTTTTAACAAAAATTGTTGCATGAATACATGCATATATATTGTTTTATTCTGATAGCTCCTGATGAGGATATATATGTGAGTAACAGATTTTTGTCATTACTCACAAGGAAAATAAGAGATCAAGCTGGAAGGAAATAAACATTTTGAATCACTAATTTTTAAATATCCTTAACTCAGCCTAAACAAAGTTGTATTAGTAAACACCATTAGAATTGTGCCAATTGATCTAGTAGTAAATTTAATTCATCCTAATAAAAATTGAGGTCACCAAGTCAAACTTCAGGAAGGCATTTTCAATCAGTTTTGCATAAGTGTACATATGCATCTAAGGTCCAGTAAAAAGTGTAATCAGCAGTGAACAGATCCAATGAACAAATAGAGTTATGCAGAATCTTCAGCCTAACTGCATCAATTTTGTCATGTTCCTGCAACAAAAGAAGCCTCTTTCTCTCTATCACTATTAGTTAATGATTACAACTTTTATGGATCAGTTCCAAATTATGACAATAGGATTTTGCCATGATGGTCTGACTAGGTTGCAAAAAGCTATAATGGATTACTACATTACAGTACCACCAGTCAGGTAGATCTTTTTGGCATAAAGATTTGACTTTGTAAAGTTTACCCATAATATTTGCCTTATTTTACTGGTTTTCCTATTGTGAACTACATTGCATGCATATCCAGGCCACCATGCTTCTAATTTCAAACACCTCTGTGTAGGTGTAATTCTACAATGCACATTGTTATGCATATCTTTTCTCCATTTTTCAGGTGGCACTACTAAATCTCCATTACATACACCACCATTTTCTACAACTAATTTATGTCTAATTTCTTTGTATGGCTTTTCAGCTTTTGAACACTTATTCCATTTATTAAATTTTATTCTAGATACAATTTTACTTAATATTGGATCCTGTAATTTTTCTGGGGCAAGTCGATTTTTTAGTAAAATGACAGTTTCAACCCGGTACAAAAACTCATCTTCTATATTTTCTAATATGTTGTCTTTTTGTCCCCTTCTAAAATGTAACCTGGATAATGCATCTATATGCGGAATAGCATTTCCTTTTACATATTCTATATCAAAATCAAAAGCCATTAGCTTTATGGCCTATCTTAATATTCTGGGAGATGTAATTGCTAATTCCTTCCTCAGCAGCTTGCTGATATGAAATTTTTAATCGTATTTGTAGTTAACATACTTATGGGGGTAAAAATCTTAACAGGGTTTTTTGTAAGAGCATTTTTCAAATTATTAAATGTTGTTTGCTGTATATTAGCCCACTTAAATTCATTGGTTTTTTTAAGAAACTTGGCAAATGTTTCAATTAGTTTAGAATATTTACTATAAAAATTTGCTAAACCCAAAAGGATTTTAATTTTTTTTTTTATTGGCAAGAGGAAACACCTCTAATATTTTTGATGTCAAGCTTGGGTCCGGCAAAATTCTGTCTTTTGAAATTTGGTACCCAAGATTTAATACCTGGTTGGTTTTTTGTTTCAACTCTTCATTGGTTTCACCCAAATATATACCTTGATATATTATCATATTTTTTATGTCCCCATCTTAGAACATTTTCTATTGTTTTCTGAAAAATGGTACTTGCTGTTTTCATTCTATGAGGCATACAAGTCCATCTAAACAGTACAATTGTGGAGTTAATAGTGGTGATTTCCTTAAATTTATCATCAATTTGAATTTGATGGTATGTGCTTTTTAGATCAATTTTCATAAAGCATTTCATTCCTGCTAACAAATGTAATATATTTTCAATGTTTGGGATAGGATAAGAATCTGAACAAATCTTATGGTTTACACTTACTTTATAGTCACCACAGATTCTAAGATCATTTAGCTTTCTCAGAATGAAATAGATGATGCCCATTTAATTCCACCCAGAGGAACATGTTCCAAAATACATCATTCAACCATTGTATGTAATTTTGCAAATACCAGGGTAATAAGTAAACTGGAAGTTTGTGAGATTCAAAATGAGGGGTCATAATTTTCTTTCAATGTAACACTTGTTTTATAATCCATTTTCAGGATCATCTGAATTCATAGCATGAATTAGACACATGCTATTAAACTTAAACACTTCTGTTCCTATTAAGCTATGGTTTTTATTACAGTCCACAACTATAATAGTAACAATTTTAATCCTAGTGTTCATTTCAAATGTTCCTTCAAAGTATCCTTATGTCTTTATGCATGACCCATCAAACTGTCTTAATTTTAAATGACTTATATAATTTGGTTTGACCCACTTGCTCCCAGAGGTTCTTTGGAATTAGCATTATGTCGCTGCCAGTATGAATTTTCATTTTTCAATTTACCCCATTCAATTTAATTTCCATGAAGATATTTTCTTTTCACTTTTTAAAGGGTATTCCATTTTTTTTCAACTCTTTATATTTTTCTTTTTTAATTTACACAGTGGTTGAAAATGATTTTCTTTTTACAATTTTTACATATCTGTCCCCATGTCAGTCAGTTTTCTGTTTGGTTCAGGCTCATATTTACAATATTTACATTTTAATGTTGTTTTCTTTATCATGTAAGTGTCCTATTGTATAAATTTGATACATGCCTCTAACAACATTTGGCTTAATTGCAACCATTCTAACATTTTACATCTTTGTGAAGTATTGTACATAACTTCTATCAGTCTTAGTTGAATTAATTCCTCTTCAATTGACATTTCTTTTTGTCCTAAACATTGGAACTCACAATATCTTTCTGGTGTCTCATAGTCAGCACAGAAATTTCATAATGGAACTTGGTTCTTTTGGCAATGACCAACCTTTTTTTTGGTTGAATATTCCTTAGAATAATATCTTTAATTTGGTTAAATGTGAATTCTTTCATCTCTGTTGGATAATTTATCAACAAAATCTTCCTAATAGTTTCACAACTGGCTGTTGCCAGGAATAAATCTGTGATTTCGTTTTCACCTCCATTTTGTTGTCTTGTAGTTTCTTTGTTCCAGAGTTGCAAAGCACATTCAACAAAGTCTGGATTTTCTACATGCAACAAATATCCTATTGGCAATGCCATATTGTTATGATATTCTAAGTAGGGATTACAGCTGTATGCAGTCAGTATTGGTTCTAAAGTCCAAGTACCATTGCTACTACCTTATGTAGCAAGCCTATATATAATGTCTACTCATACACATATTAGTGTTAGCACTCACCAACTACTACTACAATTGGCTCTTGAACATTTTTAAACAACCAATCTTCATGAAAACCCACAAAGATATTGGTCAACACTGAACCTAAAGGACTACCCATTGTGACACCATAACTACATAATGTAGTCAAAACTAAATTCAACACCCTCAGTAGCGAAAAGTACCAACTCCTTAAAATATTTTCATTTTAAAATATTAAGGGATACTGAGATGGCTACAATATAGGAGGACATCGGCACAAATATCGATTGTTTCCTCAAGGAGTACGATTAGTAAAAGGACTAACCCAGAGAAAGAATTCACACTTAATTTTCAAATCACTCTTAGAAAAAGAAAGGAATCAGGAATGCAGTTGATTAAATAAAGTTATAATACTGGTTCCAAGATCTCTGCCAACCATGCAATTAATTCATAGTGCACAGTGCCAATCATGGACAAAATTGGCCTGTGAGGCACTTCATCCTTATGATTTTAGGCAGGTCATATTCCTTAAGAATCATGCAATAAATAAACACTGGCACTAATGCAACAAAAATCATGGGGGAGAAATTTCTTCTTCATCAACCATCATAGTGTGTTAATAAAGAGACATTTGGGTAAAATATATTACCAGGGGGAAGAATGTAGAAAAAAAAATGGATTCATGCCTTTCTTAGCATCTTCAGTCTAATTTTGAAATCACATACACACTCCACTCTATAAATTGGGAAATAAAAATATAAATTTTACAACAATCAGCAGATTTTAATTTTTTGTTTAAGGATTCTAGAAGCCTAAATGAAAATAAAAAAAATTTGAGGACTACAAATCACGATGAAATCATCATAGAAGTTAACTTTCTCCAAAAATTTAATTCTAAGTAAAATTTGAACAAATGAAAGAATAAACAGCGAGTGTGAAATGAGAGGTAATGTTTGCAAGGAATTCTTTTATTGCTTTAAAAGATAAATAAGAACGGTTTATTTAAAGATAAGCCATAAAAGTTTTTAATTGTGCAAAAAAAAAAAAAAAAAAAAAGAAAGAAAAAAATCAATCATCGAGCCCGCCGCTCATATTTATCGCCCGATTGCGCGTTAAATAAAATTAAAGAAAAAATTCAGATTATAAATCATTACTAAAAAAAAAAAAGGTAAGTTTTTTTTTTTCTAAAACTTAAATTTTAAGTCTTAAAATTTGTCAAAATCTGTTTAAAATTTTTCTAGAAAAAAAAAAGTGAAGAAACTATTCCCTCTGTCCCATAAAAAAATTCATACAAATTGTTTAAAAATAAAATGCTTTGAAGCAAATTAATTAAATCAGCATTTTTTATAGCTTTTTTTTTTTTTGCGAAGTTATTTGAATTTCTTTGAGTTGATACACAAATAAAGACAAAATATTCAAAGTGATAATAAATTAATCAGTTAGAACCCAACTGTTAAGTTCTAGTCATTCGTGTAAAAAAAAAAATTATTAAAAAAAAAACAAAGCTACTTAAACAAAAAAAAAACAAATCACTTACATGGAATAATGATTGAGTCAATAAATAGTGGTTTCACTTCCTTAATGGCCACATGTTGTTGTCTGTTTCTTTGATTTATTCTCCTGTCGATCTCATACCTGTAGCTGAGGGGAGACGTCATAAGTGAATTTCAACAAAAAATACATTTACTCGAGCTACATGCATGATTTTTATTGTTGGTAAAAGCGCTTATATTTTCTTATATTTTGCACAATTATTCTTCAGAAAATATTTTCCTTGAGAAGAAAGTGATTGCTGATAAGATAAACAAGTCGCCCCTATCTTCTCAAAATGAAGCGCTCCATGAGTTCCAGAGGGCGCGAGAGAGACAGACAGACAGACAGCCAGCCAGCTATCATCGGGTACACAATTGCTGTAATAGCATACGCATCCTCTTCTTAATAATAGACGGTTTCAGATTTACTGACTTAAGTAATAATAATTATTATTTCAAGTCTTTAATCACGCTACTAAGAAAGGATCCTCAAAATGACTGGTGTCGTCTTGGAAACTTTAAGTTGGAGAAAATTATCTGTTTTAGGTACTTGTTTACTCATTGCGTTGGTGGTGTTTTTTCTCATCGGTGGTTTAATTGGTAAGTGTCAATTTTAGAAAACAACTTGCGGGAAATTTCTTATCAGTTTTTTCTCTTAAAAAAGAATCTCATATATAATGATTTAAGTATCCTTTTGTTTTATTTAATTTTTTTTAACTTTAATTTTTATATTTTATTGTACTTCGTTAAACTTTATTTAATTTTGTTTTGTAGAAAAGAAAAAAGCACTAAAATCTTTTTCATTTTTGCTCTCTAAAATTTCTACATGTAATGGTAAAGCGTGATTGATTGGATGAGGAAATTTTATTTTTAAGATGTCTGTCTGTCTGGCATTGAACAATACAGTCTTCCATTTCCACTGTTCCAATAAGTATGTGGCTAAATAACTCTTAACTCGCTGCAATACTTAACGAGCAGTCTACTATATACTATTCTACAATAATTCAATACATATTTTTAATAATGGATATTCCCGTCACCACACCTACATTTCTTCCTCTTCTTGTCCATATTTCCAGCTTTATATATTCTTGATATTTTTATCTTCAAAAAAAAAGAAAAAAAAAAATCACAAGAATCCCCTTAGATGGATAATAAAGTGGGCTGCTCCTGGTCCGACGACTACTACTACTGTTGTTTATGACTAGAGAGTCCATTGACTGAAGAAGCTTACTGACTCTCGTACTACTTCCTTAAGAAATATTCTTTTCTCGGGAGAAAAATGTTTTTTCTTTCCTTGGGCCGATTCTTACAAACAGATCTGTTTTCAATTCCCAATGAAGTCTTGAAAAGTTAAAACTTTTAAAATTCTGACCTTCCCTCCCACCCCGCAAGAAAATTATTTCAGGAGAAGACTTAATTCCAGACTTCGCTTGATGAATGAATGTGCACAAACAAGAGTCTAGTCTATTTTGTTTGATAAATGATTATTCCCTACTTCTATTTCATTGCACCTTTCGTCTCGGCTCTTCTTAGGAACCCAAGAATTGAACAATTTTTTTTTTTTTGGTAACTAATTCTAAGTTTTTTTTTTTGTTTTTTTTTTTTTTGCATAAATAATGACTTTCTTTTCTCAATTCTTAAACTTTTTTTTTTTTTTTTTTTTTCAAACAAATAAAAAAAAAAAAAAATGCATCTTGTTCAAGAACGAGCACAATAGTGCTTTAATAAAGCCTTTTTAGTTTACTTTAAACTCCTTAACAGAACTTCTACCTACAACCACTTTTTAAAATTTAGTACTAATTTAAAATTTTACAATTTAACTTTCAAGATTTCAGTTAGTTGATTATGGTTAAGATTTTTAATTTAAGATTAAGTTTTAAATTTTAATTTAAAAAATAAAATTTGGTTGTAAATGGGGGTTTTTGTTGACTATTTCGCTTCTAAAGTTTTTTTTTTTTTTTTTTTTTTTTTTAACAAAGACTTAATTACTATTTCAATCTTTAAAATCATTTGTTTTGGTATAAATAAAAACTAAAATGTGTGTGTGTATTTTTTTATTTTTTTTTCTCTGATTAAGATGGTAGCCATGTTCTGGGGAAACCTTTTTCTCGTCATAGAGAAAGCATACGAAGCAAAGTAATTAAAAATACCAATGAATGATCATTTTTTATTTTTTTTTTTTTTTTAGTAAAAATGACAAACTTGATAATTCAAATTTGACTTAACCTTCAACATAATTTCCAAGTAACATTGTGCAAATAAGGGTGGACAATTATCCCCCACTTTTCCCTAAGTTTTGTTTTTGAGTTTTGCTTTTTATTTTTTTTTTTTTTAAAGTAATATTGAAACAAAAATCTGTTTTATTTACTAAACAATATCAAGTTTATCTTCACTCTGATACATAGAATCACTAGGAACTTTTTTTCTACACATAACGGTTAAAAAACCGACGTTAATCAAAAAATATAATTTGGATACACTTTCTTCATCCACATTTTAAAACTAATTCTTGATTAATGAAAATTAATGAAAATTAATACTGTAATTAATAATTCAGAATACTAAATTTTTACAAAAAATAATTCAATTGAAAACGAAAGTTTGTCACTTAATTTGAACTTAGGAAGTGCAGAAAAAGTAGAACACTTGACAAGTGTTTTTTTTACTTTTTTTTTTTTCTGCACTTTCTAAGTTCATCAAATTTTGATAAGAGTGATTTTTGTCTTATTTCCAACAATCAAGTAATTTGGATAGTGTGTGTATGTTATGTGATTTACTAAGCGTAGCTTGGATGTGGCATAAAGCCGAAAGTATAGAACACCCAGTGAGGATAGAACTTCTTTACTCAGTCATAATTAATATTTTGCTTGTTAACGATTACAGTTCAAGTGCTTCATATCGTTTAGTGATGAAAGTTTTATATACATTTTTTTAATGAAAAAACTTTTGTAGTTTAAATTAATTTAAAACTTCAATTTTTAAAAATTAATTTTCAATCATCCCGATAACTCCTTGCTCGATATCAGTTCAATAAAGACTTTGATTATAAATTTCAAGGAGGGAAATTAGTTACTGTTTTTCAATTTTTCTTTACTGTATCTATCGAGCACGTCTTAATTTATTGATGTTTCTGGTGGTTTTTTTTTTTTGTTTTTTTATTATTAAAACTGCGTCAAACTTTTGTCTACGCATTGACTGACAGGTCGGAAAGTCAAGTCAGGTACATAGCAAGTTAAAAAACAAAAAATCTCTTCGCATGAAAATGTTCCGATTATTAAAACTTATCATCGCTTCCTTTTTGTTTGAATAATAAATTCTGTACTTCAATTGATTAGAAACCACGTTGTCTCCTAAACCTAAAAAAAACTTATTTTCAGCTAATTTAACATTCCGTGATGGCGGTCATCTATTGGAACAAACGTTCTGAACTCTGAAGTATTTTTCTCCCATTCTCCTTAAATTCTCCCCAGATGATCTTTATTATCCTCTACTCAGACTTGACATACTGGGGAAAATTCGTTTTCTAGGCGAGAAAAGAACTGGGACGAACTACCCAACCTTCTGATTTAATTTCAATTCAATCGTTTTTCTTTCAATTATTTAAACTAGTTGCTTGTAGAAGGGATATAGAAGAAAGAAAAGAAATTGAAGTTTAGTTTTTATCTTTATTTTGTGGACATTGTTAGCCGGTTACCGGCAATTAACTCTTCTCTTCAAGTACCAATTCAAAGCTAAAATGAATGTTTCAATATTTTAAAAATGAATTTTAAATAAAAATGTTAAATGAGATATTAGAGATTTTCTTTTCTTTAAACTAAACTTAAACTAAAAAGGTTTTCAGTTTCATTCTTTTATTTAAATTTTTAATTTTTTTCTTCCTCCAAAAAAAAAAAAAAAAAATACATGGCTGAACTGAAAAATATTCGAGCAATAAAAAAAAAAAAAAAAAAAAAAAAAAAAAAGACAGCGTCGATATTGGACTAAAAGTCTTTTTGAAAATTGGTTTAAAAACTCAACAGTGGTTCAGAATTGTAAAGTGTTTTAATTCCATTTTTTTTTTTTTTTATTTTGCTACTTGAAAAAAGTTACTCATTTTTAAGGTTTTTTTTTTTTTTTACAAAATGGGGAAAATATGAAAAATTTGCAGAGAACAGTTTGTTTTTTTTTTTAATTCTAAAAACCAATTAACCATCTGCTTGCAAAGTGATGTTTAGAATAAACTTGAAAATTAATTTGAGGCTTTAAGAAAATCTCGTCATTGCAAAAACAAAACAAAACCATAATTAACATTCAACAGCAATCCTTTATTTGTAACACCAGTTTCTTAACGCCTTTCTTATTTGATGGGTAAATCCGTGTTATATACGGAAAAGGGGGTCATATTGTGAACTCGAACACTGCATGATGCATTTTGTTGAACGCTAATTTAGAAAAAAAATCTCTCCCGTTTTTTTTTTTTTTCTTTCTTTCTTTCATTTTGTTCTGACATTCTTTTATCGATCCATTACATTTGATGTTCAGCAAGGCTTTTCCATTTTCTGTTCTTAAATATTCTGTATTTAAATGAAAATTAAATATTCTGTATTTAAATGAAAATTAAATATTCTGTATTTAAATGAAAATTAAATATTCTGTATTTAAATGAAAATTAAGATAAAAAAATTAAATATTCTGTATTTTTTAAATATTCTTTTTAAATGAAAATTAAGATAAAAACAATATTACCTGTCACTTTTTTCTTTACGATTTTGAATTCAAAGATGCTCTACCAAGGCTAGAGAGTTCCACAAAGTCGTTAGAATAATAAAAAAAAAGTGAATGTAACTTGTAACAGCATCAACCAGAACTTGAACTTTGCCTGCTGATTCCATTTTATACCAATATAGCCATTACCACCCACACACATTTTTTTCCCCTCTGTAAATGGCACAGCTGCTACCGTGTTCATTTCAATATTACTCAGTCATAACTGAGTTAGTTTTTCATATGATAAATTTCTTTCTGCATAATTTAAATCTTTTTTTCTTCTAATATAAAGTTATTTTAAACTTAGGATTATCTTTACGAACTAATCAAACAGTTGCACCGGTGTAATTTTACTGCAATATTTGATAAAAACTGAAATTAGTTTTTGTCTCAGTTATTTAATATTATTGTAATGAACTTTGTCAGACTGAATTTTTATGAAATTTATTTTTTCTGAATAGAAATAATCTGGAAGTAGGATAAGTAATATGATACATATACTTAGAATGTTTTGAGATATTTATAATCTGTTTCTCTTTAAATCATTACTTTATATAAGTGCTCAAACAAAATGTCAACTGCTTTGACACTTATAACAGAAACAAAATTATCAGATTGAGTTGCATTTGAATGCCTAGTACTAATATTGAACTGACTTCTCTTTAGTAGCCCCCACCCCCAGTCACAAATAGTAAAATTTGACAACCCTGAACAGATGTATAGAATTGAGTAGTTGAGATATTTTACTTCAGTTTTTTTTTTTTTTTTTTTTTTTTTTTTTCCTGCTTAATGTCAAAATATGTGAATATTTGTTTGGGTATCACAACAAATGAAAAGTCACAGGAACTCTGTTTTTTGCATGGAGAGTTACAAGATGATTAATAATATAGGTGATGTAAAGTTTAATCAGATGTCATCAATCTACCATAACATTTATAGCCAACTGTAGCAGTTTATTTTATTCTATTTTTTTTTTTTTTTTTTTTTTTAACATCATGGTAGGATAAATAAGGTCCAATTCAACTATGATATTGGGTTTAAGACCTTTTATATAGTCAAACAATTATTTTATTGAAATTCCAGTTCAATTTAGGATGAAAATAGCATTTTTTTCTTTTTCAAACAAAAGAACTCAATTAGCAACAAAAAAAATGCTTTTTATTTAATAAAACATTTTCAAACTTTTTCTTTCTCCAAGATTATATTTTCTTTTGCATTAATTTTAAGGTTATATAAGAAAAATATTAACATGCAATATATTTCTCAAAACAATGTTGGATATCCCTGCTATTAAAGAATTGTAAAAAAAAAATTCTTAGCTCAATCCTCTCCAATATCTAAATCAGGCATCAGATTACCTCGCTCATCAAGTGCTTCGTCAAGCCAGGAAAGTGTTCATATACATCACTCTTGGAGGATGTTAAGAGTGATGTATATGAACACTTTATACATCTTAATTTCAGATATTACTATTTTTTATGTGTCTTTCTTTCTATGAAATTGTTACTCATTTCTACTTGATTTTTCTCATTTAAGCACCAGCTCCTTCGCACGTTTTATCAATTTTGGGAACAAAATGCATTGATCGGGGTCGTCATGCTCACAAAAAACAGTGGTTCATTCCTAGAGGTGGTCCTGAGAGCTGTCAATCTTTATCAAGCTTTGATGATCCAAAAGTTGCATTGGAACAAATTTCTCCTAATCAAATCGTATTCTCCTTTTGGATTCCTGGCCCTAAAGGTGGAAAGCAACTTGACATGTCACGGTGGTTCCAAAATGTTATAGCAGTGCTGCAACTTGAAATTGCTTATGATGAGAATCATCCAATGTGTAAGTATAAACAAATGAACAATTTCTTTCTCTTTAAAGAATGTTTCTAGAATTTTTTAGCATAACTGCAAACATGTCACAGCAATTTATATATATATATATATATATATATATATATATATATATATATATATATACACACACACACCAGTAAGTTAATCGAATTTTTGAATAATTAATATTTGATAATGTTTTCAGTTATTTTAACAAATTATTTTATTATTCCAACCATTGTTTGAGATATTAGGAGTGATAAGCACATTAAAGCATTACAAACTTTTGCTCTTGTTTTTAGTCATAGGTTGAAACACTTATTACTAGGTTCCTCTTAGCAGCATATCTATGCTGAACTTCATGATAAAGTGCTCATAATTTGTGTGTGGTTGTTTTGTTTGAAATGTAATTCATTATTGCTGGATTATTTTTTTTTTTTTTTTTTGTCCTTTGAACTTACCTATACATGCCCAAACTGGATGCCAAAATAGCTCTTGACGCAACCCACATCTCCAAAACTGAACAGATATTAGATTTTCTGGGGTCAAACAGAACTTTCAGCATCCTGTGTGCATCTGAAAATTAACTTTACGGACAAGAATTTATTGATAATGGTTTAAGCTGTGGTTGGTTAAGTCAAGTTTTTATTGCTTAATACCTTGTTTTCAACAAATGTAAAATTTACTTTTAGAAATTGAAAATCTTATCTAATACTATTTTCAAATAAGCATTTTACAAGAATGTTAAAATTAGATATTCATTTGAAATGTTGTCAGATGCCAGTTATGAAATCTGACTTTAAATCACAAAAGATTTTTTTACCATTTATAGCTTCAACTGAAGTCTTAACATTTTCACACTAAACGTATCACTGTGAATAAACATAGCAGTCAATGTGTTAGTATCATGTTAGATTTCAAATATAAAAATATTATACTAAAGAAATTAGTTTTTTTCCCTCTATTTTAGCTGATGATCCTACACTTGAAATGGAAGTTAAATTAGGTTATAGAGATATGGAAGATGGTCCTAGTGATTGGAAGTTGTTGGCCGAATCTGTTGTTAGCCGGAAACTTGGTTGTACTATTGAAGAGGAACAGGTAATGTATGAATTAGCTCTATTTTTAACATTTAAAGATTTCTGTTTTTCATTAAACACATTGTAAAGCAACTTTTTACATATAAAAAAAAATTAAAATTATCTCTTAAGTAGATAATTTTAATAAAAATACATTTTATACACACATATATATATATATATATATATATATATATATATATATATATATATATATATATATATCCCACCATGCAGCAAAAACAAATGTAGGAAAATATTCAAACTCTTACACAAACACTTCTCAGAATCTAGCACTCTCCAAAATATTCAACAAAAATACAGTAAAAATCAGCTATAGTTGCACCATGAACATGGCACAAATATATATAAAAAAAAAAAAAAAAAGCTCCACAGGAAAACTATCCAACCACCCAAACAAATTAAACCCACGTTTAACTGCAAAAGAATGAGTGCCCCTTAAATGGCAATTGCTTACAAAACAATGTAATATACCAAGCCACAGTAAAATCACTCGATAATGAAGAAAAAATATACATAGTTTCTTTGTTTCAGTTACTCCTATGTACACAAAACATATTTCACAAATAGTAAATATGCGAATAGCACATTCCTTTCTAAGTATATCTGGGAAATTAAAAACAAAATGCAAATCATACCAAAAATACCATGGGAGGAAAAAATAGCTATTATTACCTTCCCAGACCAAAACAAACAAGCAAATAAACAAATTAACCACTCCCACTATAACAACCATTAGAATAGCCGGAAAAGAATAAATAGAAATAAGAAAAAAAAACTAGTAAAATTAACCAGTCCAAATAAAGTAAATAAGCAAATTAACCACTCCCACCAAAATAATCATTTAGAATAGGCTACAACAATCAATCCAAAAACTGAACAAAAAAATACCTTTAATTATCTTCCCAGACCAAAACAAACTACTGAATAAACTATTAAAACTCATCTCAAAAAAATTCTTACTACGTTAGTAAAAAACTGAAAAGAATAAATAAAAAATATATAAAATAAAAATAAAAAAACAAGATAAATTAATCGAAATAAACAAACCACTCCTGGCAAAATAAGCGTTAGAATGGATTACCCACAATGCACCACTCACCCATATATATGTAAATAGTCAAAACCACACACACACACACACGGCCTGATTGTGTCTAGCATGAAATAATCTGTCACCTCTGAGTGTTGACTGCAATGTTCATTAATATATATTGTTCAAAATTAATTTTCAAAAATCTTATTTCTTTTTCTAGAAAAAGCCTCAAAATCACTACAAGTGCAATATATTGCCTTTTTTTGAATTGGGAAGTTGTCATTATGATTATTATCTTGTGAATATCCGCATCCCTGTTCATGAGCACAAGAGTACAAATTTGGGCATTGGAAAACTGCAAGATATTTGGCTGTTTGTGAGTTTTTCATTATTGGTTTCCCTATTTTTCTTTCTGTACTTCTAATAAACTTATTACAAGAAATATTTTAATTAAAGCCATTAGTTTTTCTTCATTTAAAAAAAATTGGTTATCTGGAATGAAGCTTTTTATTTTTTTTCATAATTTCTGAATCATTTGAAAAGTTTGTATATTGGTAATAAGTTTTTTAAATCTTTTTGTCTAAAATTAACCTGCCAAACTCCTGGTGTATATTCCAATAGTTTCTGACCTGCTGTTTGTGATTTTTTTTTTTTTTTTTTTTTTTTTCTGTATGTGTATATATCTCCCCCAAATGATATATATATATATATATATTTTTTTTTTTCTTTTTTTTTTTTTTTTTATTATAGGCAATTAGCCAAACTGGAGGTTTTACAAAGGTTTGGTTATCATTGAAAACTGTTATGTTCTTGCTTCTCCTTCCTTGCTTAGTCTGGTTCTGGCATAGAATTATGTTACTTGAACGAGGACCCAATTTGCTTGAGAGGTAATTTTTTTCTTTTTTTTTTTTTTTTTTATGCATTCCTAAATGAGGTGGCATAATCAAAATCTATCCATTGTATCATGAAGTGGCAGGTCCTGATGAACAAATATTTAATAAAAAAAAATATTAACTAAATTACTGAAAAACTACTGTAAATAAATTTTATGAGTGGCTGTTATAAAGTTCTCAGCCCATCCATTCTAAAATTATTTTACTTTTCCTGACATCAATAATTTCATAAAGCATCATTTAAACTTCTCTTCAGTCTTTTCATACCAGTCATGATTAATTTTGCAACATTTCTCAAACGGTATCATCAAGAAATTACTTAAAAGCACCAGCCTTGTTTATTTTGAATAAAAATAAACACTCTGATTTATTTTTGTTCTCCTCCATACCAATATTTTTTTCCTTGCAAAGATGTCAGCTTCTATAACTAAATCCAATTCAGACTTTTTTGCCAACTTTGAAAATTCTTGCATGACTCCCAATCCAAATCTTTTAAAGTCTTTCCAAACTGCATTTAAGCAATTTGTAGTGACCTTTTTTTCCAAGCAATGACATAAAAATGGATGGCATTTAAAATGTTTAATGACTGCTTATTTGACTCTTTCACTACACTGTTTGAGTGATAGTCTACACAAATTTCACTGTTCCTGAAACCTTACCAAGTACAAATCATAGTGCAGCATTTTCTTCAATGTCAAAGCGATTCTTTTCTAATATAACTCATCTGCAATGAAAATAAGATCTTCAGAATATTCCCCACTCTACAATGGTTTAGAATTTTGCAGAGAACATTAACTGCTTTACTGTCTGCAACTATTGCTTCACAAGCCATCTTAACCTTGATACTTAGTATAACTCTTGTCACCTGTGAACTGCCTGCAAATATTTCATCTTTACCTTTCACTTTCATTTAATCAAAAATAGACTTTGCCTTATCAAACAAGATAGTTTAAATCAATGGAGTGTTTTTCCACCCACACTTCATTTATTCCACTAATTTACCATGAGCATAATTCACTTTACACAAACTTACTCTAGTAACTTGCTGCATTGAACTGTCCGGCATTCTTCTTAATCATTAGTTGGAGGCTGTGCTTGCAGAATGTCAAGGATATATAAAATGTACATCTATATAAATTCAAACTTTTGTGAGTAGTTTGAAAGGTGATAGTAACTTATAATTAAAAACATCTTCCAATATATATTAAGAAAAGCCCTTATTCTAATGTTAAAATGTTCAGAAATGCAGTATTTACATTAGTCGGACTATTGTCCTCATCTTTGTCGCCATGTTTGTCACAACGTTTCGGCCGTTGTACGCTCCGGCCTTCTTCAGGTGGTTGGAATTTCGATCACTGGGGTAGACTGTTCTAGTTCCACGTGCCATGTTTGATGAATGTCAGTTATCTCCTAATTTTCCCTCTGAAAGTTCTCCACTGCCTTAAACCAGGTATTGAACTCACCTTCTTTGGGTCTGTCACTGGATCTAACCAACGCCTTTATCCACTTGAGGACATCTGGGTATAAACTTCTGAGTATTATAAACCTAATGTTTTCAGCATCATTTTTACCAGTGCTCATATTGCAATTTTGTTATCATTGCATGTCTTTACCAGAGTTCATATTGCAGCTTTGTTATCATTGCTTTTCTCTGGCACTCCTTATTACTGGTTCCCATATTGTATTTATTTCTATGCTTGGTCGGCTCAGGAGATTTTTGTGGCCTAGCATATGTGCTGATTCCTTAAGTTTACGAATTTTCCAATGGTGTTCCCTATCTATGATTTCAACATGATCCCACAGGGGGCGGTGATCTCCCTTCTCTCTCCATATGTGGTCAGCCACGCCTGATTTTTCTACTTCCCCTCGCGTTACAGCTTTCTGGTGTTCTTGAAGCCTTACCTTGAGGGGGCGGCCTGTCTCTCCTTTATATTCCTTTCCGCAGCTGCACAGGATAGCGTACACACAGTCTTTAGTCATGTTCCTCTCTGTGGGGGGGTCTCACTCGTGAGAGATATCTGCGAAGTGTTGTCACACTTTTGAAGGTTATCCTGATGTTGTATGGACCGCAGATCCTTTGTATTTTCTCTGATAACCCCTTCACATAAGGCAGGCAGACTGTTTTCTGAGTGTTGTTGTCCTCCTCCTCCTCCTCCTCTTGTACCCGCCTATCCCAGTATCTATACTAAACTACAAAAACTTCCAAATATAAATTGTTTACATACAGCATGAGCAAAAATTGTTTTAAATCAAATTAGTTTTTTTTGCTCTTGAATTATAATTAAAACAAAAAAACAACATACTGCTGTAGATTATTTATCTTGCTATTAAAAGCAAATGTGCACATAATGCAATTGCTTCTACAAAAGGCCTTGATTTTATGCCATTTAGATTTCAGTTTGGATCTGTTCTCTTAACTTGATCTTTGGGTGAGGAATTTTTAATGGATCTGTTTAAAGGACTTATGCATTTGGAATTATCTACCCTTACATATTTGGGTTCTGTTTGTCTTGAGATTTTACTTGTAAATTTAGTAAATCTCTGCATCTATAATTGTCCTCCATTCATTTGTTCATTTTGTAATGCTTTCTCAAAAGTTCTTGTAAGATGATATTTTCCCTCAGTTTCATTTAATGCAATTACTCACAAACTTATGAGAAATTTAATAATATAGAAATGTTGAATTTCTTTTTATTCTTTGCCTTAGATTTGCTTGAGCCCAGATTATGTAATAAAAACTTGCATATTGAATAAATTCCATAAATCACTTTTCTATATTTGGTTGTCATTCATTATAATTGGAAAATATCCCCAAAACAAATATTTCTATTTTCATATTTCAAATGTAATTATCAAATTACAGCATTTTGTTTTCAAATTTTTACTTTATTTCTGGAATGTTTGCATATATAAAATATACCAGCATTTGACTTTTATGCTAATCTAGATTTTAATCCTGTTTTTTCTTTTCTTTAGAACTTTGTTCTCCCTGGGGATTGCTTTGTCAACATTGAATTGTAAGTATAAATTTCTCACTTTGTTTTGATTCTGTTAGAAACTAAAAATTACTTGGTATATTTGAAATACATTCAAATTTAACCTTGTATAAAAAAAAAATTAAAAAAAAAAACGTATACTGACAAAAAAAAAAAAAAAAATAATTGACAAAATGAGAACTTTTTTGGAGTCTAAAAATCAAAGTGGCTAACTTTTTTGTACTAATATCTATGTTGAATGAATGGATGAAGGATAAAATGTATATGAGAGAGATAGCACCATGACTGATGTAATTCATTCTGCCAGAAATTTGGAAGCACCATGCTGTACTGCTTGGCATTTGTGCCAGAAGCTCCAGTATGGACATTTCAGTGTTTGGGTGTCATTGCAGAGGATTCAGAAAGACTTGGATGAATCTAGTGGTGATTATGAAGGTACAGCAGCTTTGTTGGTAGGGGGCCTTGCTCAACACTGAGACCTGCATTGTGCCTTGAGGAGGTGGTGCTACCCTGGATCAAGAGGGTGGCTGCTGGAAGACCTGTGTCTGGCAAAAGGTTTCTGTGACATACCAGACAAGCAGAACCCAGTCATGTCTGTCAGACAATTTCTGTGACCACATCACTCTTTACATCTGGCCACTTAACTCCCCAGGTTGCATGCAACCTTCTTGATTAGTATATGTGGAGCGCACTTGAGCAAATGACCAACAAAACTCGTAACATGAAAGATAAACTGAAGGCAAGGATTATGGCAGCATTCACTAACTTAAACAAGGAGACCGTACAGAAGAGCTCCAGATTCCAAAGTTATCTGGAGGCTGTGGTTGAAGCCAATTGCAATTTTATTGAATAAATTTACTCTTTAGTATTTCAAGATATTTTTGTCATTCCGGTAAATATCTGTTACAATGAGATGTCTCCTTTTTTTTTTTTTTTTTTTTTTTTTTTTTTTTGTGTGTGTAATTTGATGTCAATTTATCACACACATGCACGTCATATTTTAAAATTGTTTTTCTCTTATAGATGTAAATATTAAAGATAATTTTACTTATTACTTTCCTATTATTAAACTTATATTTTCAGTGCCATTAGAATGGTTGACATTATGGCTCAACATGCCATTTATGCTACTTTTAAGTGATATACGCCAAGGAGTTTTTTATGCTGTTTTGCTCTCATTTTGGTTAATCTTTGTTGGTGAACACATGATTGTAAGTATTTGGGGTTTTCTGTAATGCACTTTTTTAAAAGAATTTTACAAACTAAATAATGGTTTCTGGGGGTGCAAGTTGAAATTTTCTTGGCATTATTTATGTAGAATGTTACATCTACTATTTTTTTTTTTTTTTTTTTTTTTTACAACCTTCTCAATGTTAATCTAATCTTTTACACACTTCTTTTGATAAAAAATAAAGGCAATAACTGTGACTAAAAAGCTTGAATGTGAACTGGTTTTGTCTATATGCATCTGTTTTGAGAATTTTTTGCTAAGATGACAATTACTATATTAATTATAGTTCATTAATGTTTTTGAAAACCAAAAATAGTATTTGGGCAGTGTGGCTAATATTCTGTTGGTTTATCATTGTGAAAGTAATAACTGCAAAAAAAAAAAATAATTCTGATAAAACATGTTCCAGTTAAATTTCATTTTAAATGTAGTTATTGTATTAAAATACTTTAATTCTTGACATAGCTTCACCTTTTCCTTTATTATTAAGTAAAAATTTATTTAGCTTTATATGTTTTATTGTAAAGGATCAAGTGGACAGAAACAGGGTCTCTACATACTGGAAGCATCTTGCTGCAGTTGGCTTTGGGTGCCTAATGCTGTTTGTATTTGAAATGTGTGAAAGGTAGTTTTTTGCTTTTTTATTTTTCATGACTTTTTAAATATAAATAAATTAAACTGTGACCTATAATTTTGTAATTACTGTTTTAATTAAGGTTTCTCTTATTTTAATATGTTAAAAATGATTCTAGTATTGCATTGTATATTTTTTTACAACTGTATAGAATATAGCCTATCCCAAATATCCATATTGGCCAATATTTTAATTATACAAACCATATTGTGTCTTCTTAAATATGAAAACAAGACTTATAATAGTTGTGTACATTTTAAATTGTTTAATTGTGCTAAGATTCATCTGCAAATATTTAAAATAAATGATTATATAAGTCTTCACAAATTTTGCAATTAAATTTTCAGCCTGCATTTTAGATGTTTTGAAATGATTGTCATCATTTTAATTTTCAGGGGAGTGCAATTGAAAAACCCCTTTTTTAGCATATGGGCAACAAAAATTGGAACTAACCTGGCTGTATCCTTTTTACATTGACTACTTTTTAAGTCTGTCAGTAATTGATATATTATGTAATTTTCTCATCACCTTCTAAGATTGGTAATTAAATCTGAAGGTTGTTTTACTTGCTACTATTGTATATAAAGAGATTGATTGGAAATAGATTGATTGCTATATATATATATCTTAAAGAATTTATTTTTCCAATTTATCTAGTTTTTGAATTTTCATTTGTGTAAATTGAACTTCTATACTCTGTATTTTATTCTAAACTTGTTACCACTTTGCATTTCATTTCCTTAATTGACTTCAGCTTGGTTCTGTCATCCTTGCTGGCATTGCCGCTTGCCTTTATTTCATTTTCTTGTGTTATATGATTTTTAAAGTTTTCAGAACAATAAGTGTTAAGAAAACTGTTTTGCCTCATATGAGTACTTCCCGGAGAAAATATTATCAGGTTTGTTTTATTGTCTTCATTTAAACATTTTATTTCTAAATGTTTAACAAACTTTTTTCTTCTTCCTAAGATCATAGTTTTGATAAGTTTACATGATGCAGTAATGCCTCCACACATGAATGGAACCATAATTTATCACTTTGTGTATTCAGAAAGCCATGAAGAACAAGTTGGAATTTATCTTGTGACCAAATTATTTCAAAGAAGTTCAAATTTTAAGTTTGGCAGATGTCTGCTTTCTCATTTGTCATTTCAAGCATCTTATTACCAAAATTTCAGCTAATATTTTAGCTTGGGTTCCTAGCTCACATTCTTTCAGGCTAGCTAACATTTCATGCCTGTTATTTTTACATAATTATCAGTTTAAAAAAAATCTTATAAATCAGCTTAATCTACAAATTTTAATCTCACAAATGTTTAATGGGATAATTTTGAAAAATTGGATGATTGCTGAATATTTCTAACTGAAACCTTTTGTTTTATATTTTTCTAATAGTAAATCTAAGTTAATTTTATTCTATACTTTTATCCTTTTTTAAATTTTGCCTTTTGATTGTAATTAAAATAGTAATGAGTAAAATAAGTAAAATTATTTTGTACTTTGAACTAAACACATTCTATTCTTTTCCAAATTTTTACATGCTAAACATCTAACTCTACTTCTGTTTCAGGGCCTCATTTATAGATTCAAATTTTTAATGTTGGCTACTCTAGTATGTGCTGCATTGACGGTGATATTTTTTATCATCAGTCAAGTAAGTGAAGGTCAATGGAAATGGGGAGAAGAATCTCAAGCTTTGGAATATACTAGTGCCTTCTTTACTGGTAAAATTTTCACCTTTTCTTAAAATTTGATTTGTTAATTAAACTTTTATATATTTTATAAAAGTCCAAGTAATGGCCACCACTTTTTTTTTTTTTTTTTTTTTCCTGGAAAATCTGTCATAGAAATTCTGATCAAAACTAAATAAGTGAATACATAAACATCAAAATAACTTCTCCACCACATTCAGTCTTTCTTTTCAGAAAAGCTAGAATTTAGGGTCAGAATTATTAATTTCTGTTGTATGGCCTTTTAGACTTTTTATACTAAATACAAATTTGTTTTTCTATTTTATTTGTAAATTCATTGAATTTAATCAGTCTTTTTTTTTTTTTTTTTTTTTTTTTTTCTCTCTCTTTCAATAGGAGTTTATGGAATGTGGAATGTCTATGTATTTGGCTTGCTCTGCCTGTATGCACCATCTCATAAAACAAAACAAATTATCGATGGTGAGAATTTTTATATCTATTCTTGTTTTCTACAATAACTGTAAATGAGTTAGAATTCTTGGCTTTAGATGTTAGCACTACAAATATTTTAATTGTAGAACCCAGCACATTGTGGGCAGGTTTATAATTATGCTCAGGAAATTAAAACATTTCTATTGCTATTAAAAAAAAAAAAATCTACATATTCAAACAAGAAAAACATCCTTGGTAATGGCTAATAGATTAACTAAAAGTGCTTGGTTCCAAAAAAGAACTTGTGTGTGCATTCACATAAAGGAAGTTGTGAAAAGTTCTCAGCCCAACCAAGAAGGGATTCCAGAATTTGGCCAGATTTTTGAAAGTGGATTGTGCTGAAAACTTTCCACATGTATATAATGCTGTTGAAAAGAATCTTAATACATATGACTCGATCTCATATTGATGGGTCTTTTTCCATTTAAATGTTTCTATGTGGTTTCCATCTGATCATCTTGGAACTTTTGAGATTATTTTTGATAATGGTTTCAGGTCATGATTCTGGGGGTGCAAGTTGAAATATCAGCCAGAAGAATGAAAAACCTGATTAATTCTAAAATTCTCCACATATCCTCAGATCATTTTTTTTTTTTTTTTTTTTTTTTTTCCCTACTTATGGTAGGGAACAGTAAAATAGGTCAGAGACCACTAGAAGTTAGAGAAAAACTGAGAATGAATATATTAGATTACAACATTTCAAGGTTGACTTGCTGCTTTGAATTTTTGCTTTAAACAACAAAGAAACTTTGATAAAAACTAATCAAGTGGGTGAAATTCATGTAAGGAGAAAGGACAACACTGACATGAGTAATCCTCAAGTCAATCTCAAATTTTCACACAATCAGTGACTTTTTCAGTACTTGTTCATTAAAATTGGAGTAAGAGTAAGTGCATGGATGAGTAATTAGATTGTTAGTATTCAAACTATAAGACATAGGTTCAAATCCCACCATGGTCGGGTTACTTCTTGACAATAACATGTGACAACATCATTGGGAAGTGCCTGAAAACAGTTTAACTCAAGCTGTGCAAAAGAAATTGTGTAAACAGAATTGAAACTAATTTCTAATTTTTCCTCCTCCCTCTTACAATTAGAGGAACACCTGTGTGCATGTTTTCTGCGTGAAAACTGGAGGATTTCAACCCACTGACCTTTGACATTTGCTGAATGCTTATTAAGACCACACAGTGGACATAAGCATGTTTTGGTGAGTCATGTGTATGATAGCCATATTCCAGGTATTACTGCATGCACAGCTGTCAACACACGAGGAGCACCTCAATAAGACACAGTGGTGACTGGAAAGTATTTTGTAGCTGAAAATTCTCTCTATCCAATAGTGGTATTGTGCCCTATTTATCTAGTTTCCATGGAAATAAACAAGAGGCGTTACATTTGGAGCTTCACTAGTATATGACCAAGGCAATTACTGAGGGATTTTTTTTCCTTTGGTGGATGTATAGTAAAATCAGTAACCATCTCAAATTTATATATGGGATAAATCTCCAAGAAAAACTTGAGTGAATTTGCATTACTAGAAAAAAAACGCATCTGAAAGATACACCCCTCCACTCCATAACTAATATTTTTAATTTTGCAAAATTTGTTTCCTTTTCAGATATGACTGATAACAGTCTAGAAGAAGAGGTTCAACTGACTCAGATTCCTTCAGATTCATCTCAGCTTTCCTCTTTTCTCAAGAAAGTGGCTCATGATTAATCATCTTAAGTTTGTGTGTTTTTTTTTGTTGTTTTTTTTTTTTTCGTTTCTTAAATGTTTATGTAGGGATTTTAGTAAAAAAAAAAAATTCTGCATATTTTTAAATTCATTCCATTTTTTTTTTCTGTATATTTTTATATTAGCCTCATATTCAAATAAAATCTTGTATAATTGATCTTAGTTTAAACTTAGCAACTTTTTTTTTTATTTATTTTATTTTTTTTCTCTCCTAAAAATGTTTCATCGTTGATCAGCATCCTTTAGCTGACCTTGTAAATGTTGGAAGGAGATACATTTCAAGTTGTGTTAAACATATATACAGGGTTGCTCAGTTTTTGAAGACATTTGAATAAATTTAGTTAAAGACATATCATGAAAAGGTTTTATCATAGGTGGGAATCGGTATGAATAATATTGACACATCTACTTAATGAATCTGCTGTTATCATCGATGAATGGTTCAATATGAATTCTGAAACATTGACATGCCTGAATCAGATGATCTTTACCTATTTTGGGACCTTGTGTTAGTTATGGCTGACTTAGAGATTTTATGTTATGGTGGCATGGATTGACTTCACTCTCAACAACACTCTATACATAGTAGTACAACTGATTCTGGTCTGGGGAGCTAGGAAGACATATACTTGGAATGGTGTGATCACTGAGATTGTAACTCCTCCATTTTTGTGCTGTCTTGGACTTATGAGCTGGCATGGTTTTGTTAGGTGTACAGTCTTCCTTTCTCATGCTTCACAACCCTCTCCAACACTTCTTTATTGTCAGCAGCATTGACCCATAAGCCCTGAAGAAAGAAGTGAGGTGGCATGACTTCATCATTGTTGCTTACAATTCCTAGAACCATCACAGCTGCCGAAAAGTTTGCATGCAATAACTGTAGGAACATCCTCATCTGTCATTCCATCAGTTGACCTTTTGATTCTGATCAGTTAATCTATTCAGAAAATGACCAAAGCATTTCATTCTCTTGATGTTTCAACAAGCACTTTGCACAGATCAGTTATCTTTTGTTATTGCAGATATGAACTGGCCTCTACTTGTATCAAAAGTCCTCATGCACAATTCTTCCATTAGAGTGCCTTGAAATCTTGAGCTCCTTAATGATATTGACTTTCTGGGGTCTTAATTGTACCTTTTGTACAAATTTGGGTTTTCTGATTGTATTAGGACTTTTAATAGGTGTTTTGTTTATGGGTGCATGGATGAGTGGTTAGAATATTTGCTTTCTGACCATGAGACCTAGGTTTGAATCTCACCATGGTTGATTCGTCAAGGAGACTTCCTGATGTTATCAGTCTGGAGGGGGATGATCCCAGCATGTGGCACCTTTGGAAAGTGCCTGAAAACCATACCACGGGTTGACCCAAGCCTTGTGAGTGAAATTGGGTAGACAGAACACTTCAGGGACCGTCGATAGCTGTGCTAGCCCGAAGTCACAAGTCATCATAACCAAGGGTTTGAATGTGCTGGCCTTGTTCAGATTGTTGATCACGCTAGATATCATGCTCCCTCCCAGAAACTATAACTAAGGTCTTGGCATAGTTGTAGTATAAACCACAGGTGGGCTCTGTGAGTGTTGATCAAACACAAATGTGCCTGAGCGAGCATGTGCAGTGGGGATTGGCTAGCTGCCCTAGTAGACAGGTATCCTCGAATACAAGTAGCCAGTTATTAATAGGTGTTTTACATTTGGCTACTGCTGTAGAATTCCCATCAGCAGCTTCTTGACAAATGACTGCAACTTTCAAGACAAGCAATCTCAAAATCAATATACTCTGCTTTTAAGGCAAAGATTAGTCTGTCTTTTTATTTGCTGAGTTAGCTTGATGTTTGTCATTTATCTCAAAAGAAATAAAAAGATCACTTATTAAGACTTGTTCTCAACAAATTGAGCAACTCTATAAATTACAGCTTTCTATAAATTTTTTTTTTTTTTTTCTTTTTGAGATTTCTTAGCTTATAAAGTTCTTGTAACAAATTATACCTTGTCACATCTTGTCAACATCTACATTTTAAAAAGTTTTGGAAGTGATTACAAGCTCAAATGACAGTTGGTTATATGCTTTTATCTTTGCAATTTGGACTGAAAAAAATTAATTTTACTTATTAACATTAGATTTTACAAATTTCCTTTGAGATTAAATATACAGGCTTAATTCTAATATTTCAGTATGTCTTTAAATGTATTCTGTAATATTAATTGTGCCCAACTTGATTTTAATGCTAAAAGCTTTTAAAGTGCTGGTTTCTAATGTAAATATTGCATATGTGAAATTGGAAGCTTTTATTACATAATGTTACAAATTCACCATGCAAATCTACTGCATATATTCAGTCTTCAACAACCAAATGAAATTTTTTTTCTTTTATCATTCTTGCTCTCTCAATGTTATATTTTTGGGGGATCAATATTTATATATAATAATCACTTGCATCAACCATTAGTTCTTCCTATTTTAACATGTATATGTACAAATAAATCTGTATATTTAATATACATCTCTAAATCCTAACATAAATGTCTAAGTTTTTCTGTTATATTTGAAAACAATTTTCCATTTATTGTAGTTGATAGACATTGAAAAGTTTCAATACTAGAGAAGAATTCTTCTTTGGTTAAGGTTACCGCTTTTTATGGTAATGATTTACTTTCAGCATTTTGTTTCTTGAATGGATTCTTTCCTCTTATCAAATGAGTTGTAACACTATGAATCAGTGAAAGTAATCTTTCTATTATAAAATATTGAAATTTGTGGCTGAGCGTAACTTGGAAATAAATTATTTAAGTCTTTATGCTTTTTTTTTTTTTTTTTTTTTTTAAAAGAAAAGGCTTAAATTTAAAATCTTATTCCAATATTCATTTTTATGCTTTTAGTTATAAAACTGCTGTCTTTTATCATTCACATTAGTTTTCTTATGGAATGCAAATTATTTTTACTAAATATTATGTAAATATATCTTGTGATGTAAATCAGTTTTCTGAGCAAATTACTTTGTGGACTTGTATACACAATTTCACAGTGGAAGAAACCTTGTGTGAGACTGACTTGTGTAATTGTAAGATGAAATAAAATTTGAAAACTTGAGGGTTTTGTTTGTTTGTACACACACACACACATATATATATATATATATATATATATATATATATATATATATAATGCAAAAATGGCTTTGAACAATCTTTTCTAATATCATTTGTTGTGAAATTTTTTTAGATTGGCAACAAACTGTATATCTCAATGGGTTTATTTGGGGATTTTTGTATATTGTGGAAATCCTTGAAGTGTAATGGATGACGGATAATAAATCCGCTAACCTGATATTTTTACATATGAATATTCCAAAATATGAACAGTACTTTTATTTGTTTACCAATAGAACAACACTTGTAAGTTCCAAATAAATTTACACCCATTAATTAGCTGGTAATTGATCATAGCATGTCAGCTGAGCATCAGAATCTCTCTTCAGAAAATCTGTCTTCATATTTGGTCATCTCTTGTTTATAGCATCACAGAAATTTCATCCCTACAATTTAGGGATTTTTTAGGGATTGACACTCCATCAGGATCGGAATGCATACTGAGAACAGTAGAGCAAATAGAAGTGGCAATATATTCACCATGGAGGGCACGTGTATTAGTCTGACATTTTACTAGAAATATATGACTTTCTTTGTTTAAATCTCTCAAATCTTGTTCCACTACAAGTGAGGATTTATAGTTTGTGGTAGTTCACTACTGTAATCAGCTTAAGATTTTTTCATTTTCTACAGCATATCAACCCTTTGCAGCCAGGAAATAGGTTGTAAATTTTTTATAATAATGGTTTAGTGATACAAGTCTTACTAATAGCCGGGGGGGGGGGGATTCATACCTTTCCCAAGGGTATTTGCATGTAAAACACTGAACAGGAATTGGAACTAGGCTCTCCATTTAACAATTCTAAGCCATTATCTATTACACCACCTGCACATCTAAGCTTACAGCACATAGTATTCCCAAGAGGTCACCCATTTAGACACTGAGCAGGCTCAATGTTGCTTAACTTCAATGATCATACAGGAACCAGCATTTCAACATGATGTGGCTGTAAGCAGTCACCTTGAGAAAAAGGAAATATAAATTAAGAGCATAATTAATTTATCTCAAAAGTCAATCCTCTTTATCTTGGTATATTTTTTTTTTTTTTTTTTTTTTTTAAGGGTATATGAAATGTTATATGCATTTTTAATCTTTGAATTATCCATGTTAAAGTTTTTATCAAGCAAAACATAACGAACTATGAATTCTGGAACAAAAATATGACCTAAGCAAAATAAATATGAAAGTAACTTATTTAGAAATTAAGTAACTATTGTTATGCTGACTTTTGTCATAAATATATTCTTTTTATGACTAGAACTGTATATAGAAAACATTAACTGTATGTAACAACATTCTTAAACGATTTTGTAGCATAAAATGTTTGCTCTTTTGTTTTTTATCAATATATTTGAGTAACAATATCACAGAAAAGTATTAAATTTATTGGATTTTTTAATAAATTTTAGCATTAAAGAAAAACTTAACAATTAAACAAAACATTTCTGCTTGTCCCTCTCTTAGTTCACACGACCATTATGCCATGCCAGTGCCACAAATAATGGACTACTCTATTTTGACTGCATAAAAAGATGGCAATGTCATATAAATACTACTTGGTTTCAGTGAAAAAAAAAAAAAAAAAAAAAAAGTAGTTAATGTCTCCTGCCAGTTCCCCCCTAAATAATGGATTATTCCATTTTGATTGTGTGGAAAGGCATATCAAAGATGCTACTTGGTTTCAGGAAGATAGAAGTCTGTTTCTGGGAAATGGAAAAAGTTGTCAATTTATTGCAATGTTTTGTTAAAATTAAATATTTAATGATGCGATAGGGGCATTTCTATAGTTATTTTATTGTAGAACTCTCCATGAGCTTAAGATTAATCAGAAAA